AATCTTGTTTCATAACTTCTGCTGTTGCTGTTTCCCACAAACACTTCGACTGGAAACCACGGGCATTGACACATACACGACTCCGCCCATTCTCTAAAGGGTTTGGCAATCTAGGCTGACCACGCCCACTTGCTTTTCGCGGACTTTCGATATTTTTTCAAAATTTTTGCATTTTAGGGCTGCTGCGTGAAGCCCCGCCCACTGTGAGAGGCTCCGCCCACTTTGAAGAAGCCCCGCCCACTTTTCAAAAATGGTGCAGATCGGCAGTATAGAGACTTGGCTTGCATGCTAGGGTCTCGTTCGTCACTCGGAACAAGAAAATCCGGCAAAGTTTATTCCGAATGATCAAAAAACCCTTTCAGAAAATGGGCGGAGTCGGCCATGTGTCAATGCCCGGTGGTTTCCAGTCAAAGTGTTTGTGGGAAACAGCAAAAGCAGAAGTTATGAAACAAGATTTGAGAATCTATGTCCGCGCTGACAAGTGGGCGTGGCCGTCGGGGCGGGGCTCGCAGTGATGTCTGGCGTGATCTGGTTGATGAGTTGCCCGCCCTAATAAGTGTGGTTAATTTGATGTGAAAAGTGAGGGTGAATTTGGTTTGAAAAGGGGTGAATTTGGTTTGAAAAAGGGTGAATTTGGTTTGAAAAAGGGTGAATTTAAAGTGAAAATGGTATATAATCCAGGTTGTCTGTATGTTTGTATGTTTGTGTGACCACTACGAAAATGGTGATTGCGTGAAAAGTCACTTTACGAAGCTATTCAAGTAATCTGGATGGGTCACTATGTCGGTCACTATGCATGGAGCACGCGTCACCACGGTCACTATGCATGGAGCACGCGTAAGCCATGCCAGGCTCCGTACACAATGGGCGTGACGTGCATCTAAGTATTCGGTGCCAAGGGGAAAAATCCTTGAAACGCCCACAGAGGATTCAAAAAACAAACTCAGCAACGGGATGGCGATCGAAATAAGATAGAGACACCCGCGGCGGGGGAAGTGTGTAACGACTGGATAGCGCTCGTTCCAAAGTTCATCAAACGAAACCAAACACCACACGAAGGGCCCTTACAAACCGATACATTCCTGCACGGCAAATTCTCATCAATGCAATGAGTGTCATATATAAGTTTAGGACTACTCGCTAGAGGAGTATAGTACAAGGAATGAAACTCTACAAATTCGGTAATTTCGAAAAATATTAAAAACGGTGAATAGTCCGGCGAGCGATCCGACTGGCCCTCTTTTGAAGAAGTCAAGGGGAATACCCACTGTACACGCGCAAAGAGGATCGCTCGACGCTGTATTGTTATGCTGTGCAACACATTAATTGTATGTCACCGCTCACAAGCTTTCTGGAGCATGAATGAGATAGTGTGCCACTTGCGACATCTTTGGCCTTTTTTTCGGATTCCCTCGCCAACATGCTTTCATGACCCTTCTCGCCAGAACTGGAAGAGTGTCGTCCACACGAGGTCGGTATTTCGGGTTAGCTACCTGTAACATCACATCATTCTCCGGAATCCTTGCACAATTAATCCGCTTTTTTGTTCACGATACTATAATCGAAAATGCAGGTTCGATAGGGATCGGATCTGGCTTTATTTATAATTCAAACCTGTACCCTGGGTGTTACTCTTTTATATGTTTTCTTGCTCGTTTTATTTAAATGAGACCTTCGCGTTTGTGAAAGAGATGAATCAGTACTACCTAAACTCACCTTTAATCTGATTTCTTTATTATCAACTCCTTTGTATGGTGTTTCGCCGTTATTAAATATTTCCCAAAGAAGTATTCCGTATGAGTAGACGTCACTCTCCATTGTATACGTTCGTGTTAGGACAACTTCAGGAGCCTGCCTTAAAATTGGAACTGTATTGAACAACGGTATCAGATCGCTCATTTACTCACCATCTTATTGGTATTTTTTCTGTCTCCGGGATTTTGTAAAATTCAGCTTGCTTCGATGCCCCAAAGTCAGATATCTTCACAATGTTTTTCTTCACATCAATAAGACAATTTCGGCAAGCGATATCCCTGTGTCAAATTGCATATGTCAGGGCTGGCAAAAAGAACTTCACATACCTATGCATGCAGCTTTTCGAATGGAGGTAGACTAGACCAACTGCGACATCAATGCCAAATCCTATTCTCGTTTTCGTGGCTATCTTAAATGATACAACACCGTAAATGCCGTTTCATCTTACTTATTGCGATGATTTCTTTTGTACGTAGACGTGGAAATTACGAGAACTTGCAAAATGAGAAATACTACTCAAACTTCTGTGAACTGTATTATGAAGTACCCGAACTTGCCGCGAATGTTTTTATTAAATAATGAAGACAATTGCGCTTTCCGAGAAAACGCCGCATGAGAGAAACGCAGTTATTTAGCCCGATGCCTCATAGTGTCCGCATAGGACCACTATTTTTGTTTTATGAATCTTTCGCAGAGCATGCAAGCATCTTGCGCGGAGGCTATCTCTATTATCCCTGCGCACATCAGGTAACACCAACTCCGGCCCCAAACCAGGCCCCATCTTTCGGCGCATTATTTACGTTTTATTTTCAATTTTTTTTCAATTTTCCAATTTTTATTATTTTTCGACTTCCTATTATTTCCTACATAGAACACTTTAGTCGACTTTTTCCTACACTTCATTTCCTACACGTAGATGACTTGCCGGCCTTTTATCTTATTTATTGCAAATTTGGAACTCATATATTATTTTTCAAGGTCGTCGTTTTAACGATTTTCATTTCTAGAGACGCCCAAAACGCTTTGCCCACCTTGTGCGAACCCCGATGTTTTTTGTGAAATGTCGTAACCTAGCAGGCTAAAACCTCGCTCTGTGCTCGAAATAAAGCAAACGTGTGGTGCAATCCGTAACATGCTCTAACGACAGCGCGTTTGATCTGTAGAGGGTGGGCTGACTTGCAGTGGACGATGATGTTTTTGTTGCTGGGCTTCCTGTACCTCTTTGTAGAGAGCATAGCGCCTTGAATCTTCACTCGAATGAACCAATGGAAGACGATTTTTCTTCCCATGGCAGTTTTATTTGCTCAGGCTCCGAGTCAAGTAGGTCAACGCAATCGTCTAGCTCTTGTAGAGTAGAGCAAACCACGAGGCACCACCGATATAACAGCAGATAGCGTGGAATGGCGTTCTAAAAGAATGCGCCTCTATTTTGGACATGAAAACAACCAGTATGGCACTGTTCGTTACCCTATAGCTTAGCCCGTGGTCTGCGCAGAATACCTACCAGACCACCCGAAAATCTCATTCCCGTCAGTGACAAGGAGGAGAACTCGTGGTCGTCCTCTACCAGCTTCACCGCGATGTAACAAAACACCATTCGCGGGAGAGCCCCCTTTATCGGCCATCCTCTGCGGAGGAATTCTGAAAGCAGTTACTGAACCGAGAGTGCGTTTGACAGCTAGATTAGAACATGTTAATCAGAACAAATTCTGATAGCTAGATCAGCAGTTTTGAAGCCGGAAAACTCTGACAACACTCCTCAATATTGAGTCTTCGACATCCAACGAAGCCAAAGTGGTGCGGCAAACAGGTGTCTGGGGAGGTCGGTTTAGATAACATAGTAGCCATCATGAGTGTACCACTCGATGAGTTCGAACGATCTTAACCCCTCCCCCCTACAAAAGCGAAACTGTGGGCGAGGAACATCAAACGAACGCGGGCGCTGCCTTTAAATGACTTCTAGTGGGAGACAAACCTTGTCGAAGGAGGCCATCTGCATTGAATTTGGACCTACTGCACTCCTTGATTAAAACCAATTCGTGCGAATCAAGTTGCTATCTAATCCTCACACTTAACTGTTCCAAAAGCACAGATGATATTCCCTCACTCCTCAGAAAAAGTACTGACGTTCCGCCAAAATTTTTTCTTGGGTCGACCGATACTCAAGGGAGAGCGCATGTGGGCTCTGTCTACAACTTCTCCCTCGCTCTCTCCATGCTGCTCGAACAACGCTGTAAGTGGATACGAAGGTGTTTCTAGGTGAACCAGGCTCGGAAGCGCCACTGGCTAGATTTCCAGAAAAGCGGAATCGGTCATGTAATCTTATCAGTCCAGTAGGGCGATGCTCTGTATGTGGTCGGGTTACCGCAGCAAATTTCTTTCTCTCAACGCTGTGGCAGCAGCGACTCCTATTGCAATCAACTGACTGCAGAAGAAGCATGAAATATCTATTATTTGGTATAACAACCCAGCAGTGGTTGCCTACTCCACCTCAAGGTTCCAGTTTCGAAAATGAAACTGACACACGAAAACGATCGTGAAGCTTAGTTAGGTCTGATTGCCCTCTAAACTGATGCTTCAGCAGCTCTTACATCTGTTGGATATTGTCTCTCATATTGCCAAAGCACTTCAAAATGCTCGCTTCCAGCATGGACCAAAAAGCTTCTGGAAGCGAAGCAACCACTCTTTGCTCGGTGCTTGGCAACGAATTGCCGATGAAGGTAATATATGTAGTGTGCATCCATATGGCTTCTCAATGAAAAAAAAAACCCCTTGACCTCCAAAAAAGTTTGAAATATCAAGAACTTTTGGACAGCCCTAATCGTATTATTTAGTACGGAGGCCGCAAGTATCGATGTGGAGGTTATTCTAAGACCCCCAACAAAACCCACAACAAACTTAGCGTCCGTCCCAGTAGCTGTAGGAAGTTGATTCCGAGCAGTGATATAGAGGCTGTGACGGGAACATTATTGGTGGGTGACAGGGAGTGATATCAGCTGATAAGATCCGATAAGAGGCGTCAGAAGGGCCATCCCAGTCGAGTCTATAGTGCGGAGCACAGCAACAGTGGGAAGTTGGTTCCAAAGTATGGTAGGGTGTGGGACAGGGAAAATTATCGATGGGTGGCAGGAGTGATATCAGCTGATAAGGGTTGATAAGGGAAGTCAGAATGGTAAGGTCACCATACTCATGACGCAGGACACAGCATCAGCTAGGCGTTGGTTTCAGAAAATGATGTAGAGTGGGAGATGGCAACATCGAGGGCAGGTGACAGGAGGTAATAACAGCTGATAATGGCTGATAAGGAACGTTGCCGTTCTTGTTCAGTCAAAGTGCTGGAGCCTTTACACCACCAAATTACAGAGTCGTAGTGATAGGGACTTTGATGACGGGTGACGGACAATGTTATCAATTGGTAAGAAAGATAAGGGGCCGTTCTCATTACATCTCTTATCACTATACTGCCGAGTATTGGAGGCTCAGTGTGCGAACTTTTCCTTTAGCTCACTTCTCGGGAAAATTTGAGGATAACGGAAAAACCTGAATAATGTGGCACTTCATGCGTTCAACAGCACTTTTTTCTTTTAAACTTTGAATAACTGATTAGAACGAATGAGAAGGGCTCACAGTACCTACTAAAAGTTATAATTCAACGAGCGGATTGCATCTAATTGAAAAGGGAAACGTTCATCGGTAGGCATTTCGGTGCAGGGGTGCAGGTAATGGAAACGAAATCTGCTATTTTACTGAGCAATTCATACTGCGCTGTATTGGACACACACATTGTATCTACAGATTTATGTATTGTGTGGGCGTTATGGCGCGGACCACACCCCTGCTGCAAATAGAAGCGTGTGCTAAGTAGTGCACGATCCCAAGCCTTGCTCTATCTGCTACGATTCGATCACTACAGCGCCGTATGAGCAGCCCACTATTGAAAAATTCCGTTAAATTATGGAGCGGCCTGGCGAAGCCAGGCCAGCTCGGCGAAGCCGAGCTAAAGAGAAGGAGGAGAGCTCGGCGTCAGCCGGGCGATGCCGACTGGTTCCTAACATTATAGGATATGTCGGGCGACAACAATTCGCCTATTTTCATACTATCACATAGCATTGGTGCATATAGCGTGTTAGGCGTCAATGAAGAAATGAAAAAATTATAAGATGGGGGTTCCACGTATCTGATCTGCCGGTCTGAATAGAATCTGTCCTACAACACTAATATAGTTGTGTCTCTCTCAGTGACAAGGAAATGAGGACATAGACAGTACCGTATTAATGTTGTAGGACAGATTCTATCCACATGGGCAGTTCAGATACGTGCAACTCTCATCCATTCATTTTTCATTTCTTTTCAGCCTGTACCTCCTCAATAATCTACAAATGAGCTTCAGAGAGGCGTAGAAGCGTCCGCATACACTACGATACCCCTCAAGAGCTTCGAAGATATATCGAAATTGTGTTTTAGCGTAACAGCTTTCAAGAACTTGTGTTTTAGCGTAACAGCTTTCAAGAACTATATAAGCGTTGGGAAAGGATGATCGGCATCGAGTAGAAGTTGGATTGCCCCCTATATTCGTCGAGAAAACCAGCGCGTGAAGCTGTTGAAAGTAATGAATATAATGACTCGTAAGACAAATCAGCACCTCAGACGGTGTGCAGAGCCCGAATGCGTTATTGTAAGATGACAATTGAGATACAGCCTTGAATCAACCCACATCACGCGTTTTCTTGATGTAGTCTTTCAAGCAGCCACCGTCGATGAACTCCATAACAATCATAATACTGTCTGCGGTATGTTGCACGACTCCATAGAAAGCAACAATGTTCCTGCAAGTTTGTTCTGTTAACAGAACTCTCTGAATAGCGCTGTTTCCGCTAGCGACGAGTCAAAATTCCATACCTGTGTTTATATTGTCGCATGATACGCGCTTCCCGATACATGGCCTGCATCAGAGCTTTGTTTTCATCATTCAGCTTCGTCTAAAAGATGTAGTTCAATGAAATTTTCATTTTCTCCGAATTTGTCTTTCTGAAGACCGTCCTCGCTCTCAAGCAACTCGTAGGCGACCTCCTTTGCACAAGTACTGTAGCCCTCAGTATGTGCTCAGGCCCACATGTGTGATATCTGACGCTGCCCTAGTGGCCCTGCAAATAGAACTCAGAGGCTAGTCTATTTCCTGCCCCGAAGCCAGTTTTTGCACCGCGTATTTCGTTCTGTTCTTCATAGATGGTGTTAGCATTGAATGACGCGAGGAAACGAATTATGAGCCAGAAAAGGCAGAACATAGCTCTGCTGGCATAAAACAAGCAGGTCCGAAATATTCGTACAATGAGGGTGTTGCGGCGTTCTTACGGGTCCTTTTTGGTCTTTTCGATGATTTCTTTTCCATTTCTTTCTTTTTTCCATTTCTGATTTTTTTCTTTTTTTCCATGAATCTGTTTGCTTTTCCTCGCTAGAAAGTCACTTGGCGACCATAGGTTCGTTATTGAACGCCATTATCCACAATAGTCTATAAGATTGCAGACTTAGCCTACATTTAGCAGCACGAGCTTATTTAACGTCCGACATTGCGCGAAGTCAGGCAGAGAAGCGATAAAAGGAGGAGGAAAGCAGACAGCCAGTACCGGGGTAGAAGCAACCAACATACTGCTCGGCCGCGATTTTTCCGACTGCTCAAAACCAACTACATGGTCCGAGCTCAAAAACCAATGCTAGCGAAATGGCAACATAAGTCCATCAAAAATAAACTCCGTCACAAAGCGCAACGGATCTGACTAGGTCAACAACAACCTTCATCGAGCCATCTACATCTGCTATCTTACCGCTTGAAGCATGATGGATACCTCATTCTTTCGAGTGTTCCTTTTTCAAGCACGGCAGGCTTTCTCATCAACGAAACACGATACCATCTTGCCTGACTGCTCGGTCAAAACCACAACAGAGCATTTCAGAAGTCTTTCTCCAGATCCGTCAAAGCTATAGCTCGACACTAGAGTGGCTACTTGCAAATACCCCGCTCCTGGAAAATGAGTAGGACACCGTTGTTGAACCAAAATCTGTACTTGTACGACAATGGCAACTGTCGCCCTGTATTTTTTTTCCGAGGATTGAGCATGACCGACCACATCTGCGAAGCCCACCGATGTGTCGCAGGAGTATAAAGTGTCGATACTTCTCATGTCATTGGGCTTGAAGAAACCCTTCAACCCCATTGAGACAGGAACACCCTTCAACCAGGAGGTATCTATTGAGTCAAGTACAGCAATAACATGAAGATTGTTTGTGAGCTCCACAGCACTTTCACGAACAGGGTTTCACCGCTGTACAAGGAGACCGTCATTCTAATACCTCCAGAAATCAGACATCAGCGCTGTGTTATTTTTACTGGAGCCTGTGGAATATCCGGCACACAGATTCTGATAAGACTCGATGTTCGTTAAAAGTGGACTGGTTTCTTATGAACAGTATAGAACTCAATGATGAAACGATTTACCTTCAACCCGCAATTTTAGGTTCAGACAAGAACACCACTATTCGAACTCCAAACCAGTCAATTTCAGATTCTTAGAGTAACGGAGCGTCCAAACTTCGTGACGCCGTGCGTCATAGCGCGTTGCCTGTACACACTGTAACGCGCCACATTTACAAGCGCGCTGCAGTTTCAAGTACTCCAATTGATTTCCTTTGATATTCCACGCTTTTTTCTTTGTTTCCCATATCTACTTCATCTGAAGATTGTTTGACCTTGACATCCAATCTCGGAGTAATTATTGACAAAGGATGCTGTGATAGTGATAGTGGATACTGTTTTTGACATCCTGCTGACTTCCTAGCATGCAAACGTTTTGTTCTTCACAGATATTGTAGCGCAAAGACGCTGGAAGTTCCGTTAGTATTTCAAATGACTTATTCGAAAGGGTCCGGTATCTATTGCCATTTCCTAGAGGTTGTAAACATAGTGCTATTAACACTGGGAAGCGTGGACTGTGGTAACGATATTTGGTACTGTATTTGACTTTAGCTCCCAGCATTGTAGATCAGATCATAGATCATGCACGTTTTACCTCAAATTCTTTATCGCGTAAGTACGAGCAATATAAGATGTAACATGCATGACGTCACATCTATAACTAGTTGGAAATCGAATGACAGAGTCAAAAAGGGAAGCTTAAGATGAAGTTAAAATGGAAAACAGAGAAAAAAGCGTGAAATATTGAAGGAAAGCAACTGAAGTACTGCAAAATTGGAGCGCGCTTGTAATTGCGCAATGTCGCGAAGTTTGAAGGCTACCTGAGAGCGCAGCTAGGTGAAAGTTGCTGGAACCTCTTTGGACCTTTTCTGCTTATCGAGGAGACTAGAGCACCTTCAAAGTGAAGAGCCAAAATCTTGGTTAACATAAGTGATTTGGGCACTATTTATCCTTTACTGCCCAGTCATCCGAAATCAGGCCAGTTCCTGACCGACTTTTTTCTCCGTGGGCAGAATTTGCTGAAAACTTGGCTCCAGGGGTAGTTTGACCCGCTGAACACGAATATCGCATCCGCTTAACCCGAAACCTCCTGACGCCCGCGCCACGGGCGCCGGCGCCAAAATACTCGAAATCACCAAATTCGCTGAAAACTTGCTCCCAGGGGTAGTTTGACCCCCTGAACACGAATATCACTTCCATTTTGCATGAAAAAAACCTCACTTCTCTACGAGTCGTATGATCAATGCTTCTTCGAAAAATCCCTGCGCTCGCTCAGCGTTCACACGGAAATGGGAGTTCCCACGGAATCCTGCGGGAATTAAGTGTTTTCCCGTGGTGACGTCTTCAAAACTGACCTAGTAACTTGGAAAATCCCTTTCTTCATTTAGCTACTCTCATGCTCTGAACATCCTTCATCGCCACAACCGCGAGATGGAGCTGACTGATTTCAAATGGCTCGACCTAGTTGAGAAGCTCAAAATGGATCCTCATGAATTCCGAGCATGGTTGCGCAGACTAGGTCTACAAACACACCCATGTGCCCCAAGTGTTCTGGTGCCATGACGCTCCGACTTGAAGACAATGTTTGGCTTTGTAACAGGCGGACAGCGGAACGAAGCCGTCTCTCTACGTCAACAAAGAGCTCGCCAATTCTTAACTTCCAGAGGCTACCATCTTCTCAATCACTTACTTCTGGCTGCGTGAGTTCGGCTCCTTCAGAACGAAGTCTTTCGAGCTCGGAGTCAGTCGGAAGATGTTAACCCACTGGGAGCAGTATTTACGGAGAATTTGTTCCAAGTATTACAAGGAAAACCCTCCCATTATTGGCGGGCCGGAGTCACTGTAGAGATTGACGAAACGAATGTCACACGAAGGAAGTACAATCGCGGCAGACTTGTGTGTAGGAAGGAATGGTTGTTTGGTGGTATTGAGAAAGGGAATGGTCGAGCCTTCATGGTGCTTGTGAAAGTCGCAATGCAGCCACACTCAAGAACATCACAAGTTCATTCGACCGGGAACTACCATTATGTCCGGACTCATGGAGAGCGTACTCACAGCTGTCGCGACTGCCAGCCGGCTACAGGCACCTGACGGTTAACCACATGCTCCATTTCGTCGATTCTAACTGAAGCACACATCCAAACATCGAATCCTTATGGCAGAAGTTCAAGATGATTCCTAAGGAGAAGTTTGGAGTGAACATCAAGCGGCACTCTCACTACATCAAAGCGCTTTAGCGTTGAGAATTTGGAAAGCCCAGTGAAATCATCTTCAACTTCTCCTTCTGTCGCACACTTTCACCCGTGTTAGGCTGCCTTCTACCAAATTCGAGTGTTGATTATTACTAACCCAAAAGCCTTCTCGTAGAGCCACAAAAAAGAGCGAATACTGTTTCTCGAGCAAGGTACATAAATGAGTCCAACTACACCTAGGAGCAAGTTTTCAGCGAATTTGGTGATCTTCGAGTATTTTGGCGCCGGCGCCCGTGGCGCGGGCGCCAGGAGGTTTCGGGTCAAGCGGATGCGATATTCGTGTTCAGCGGGTCGAACTACCCCTGGAGCCAAGTTTTCAGCAAATTCTGCCCACGGAGAAAAAAGGTCAGGAACTGGCCTGATTTCGGATGACTGGGGCAGTAAAGGGTAAACAGTGCCGTGATTCGTTCTAGTACTCCAATCAGGTCCTTCTCAGCGAATTTAAGCGCAGAAGCGACACTTAGCTAAAAAGATCTCACCATTTTGATTGCGACCTCGATCGGAGGTTTGCTGGGTCCCTCTTGCATGGAACCTCGGAAAACGTCACCAAACGCTCCAGTTCCTACTTTTTGCTCCATCTTGATCTTGTCAATTGTTAGTTCCCAGGGCTGCTTACATATTGCTTGTTTGAGTTTGGCTTCATGAACAGGGGTCCCAGATGAGAGGTGAAATCTTAAAAATAAGCAACGAATTGCAGGAGAAAGTATGTGAGTATTTCAGATTACGATAGTTTGTTAGGACTTCTCTATAGTGGCGCACTTGTTAGGATAACCTTGTTAGGACAATGTTAGGTATGGACGTCGGTACTAAGGATACTCTACAGGCGTTCTACACCCGAGTACAAACTCCAAAGCTGAACGAAGCGATGAAATGTAGCCTTTAGAAGTGACTTCCTGCTTTTTATTCCTTTATAAGGCTTGTGAGAACCTAGCGCCCTCAGGTTCCCCTATTTTGACACTCTCGGGAGATGTCGCAGTAGGCCAATCCCGATAAGGTGCTTAACCAGGTAGGTTGCAAAAAAATGATGAGCCATTCCCAAGTCTCGAAAACCAGGAATTATTCGAAATATCGACCTATATACGCGTTTCCATCATAGCAAGCTGTGCTTCAAAGCATAAAGAGACATGTTTTGTTTTACAATTGACAAATTACGTGCTCATACCTCACTCAAAAGATTCAGAACCAACTTCAATTCCGGCATTTGTAACCACCGCGCCGAGTTCTAGGTAAACACGTACGTTCCTAGTCACACTTCTATGGTAAGCCGACGACTTTGTGTTGACCTATGTGCCACAACTGCATTACACTCTTACAAAGTTTGAAAGGTTATCTCCGAGACCTATAGTCAGCCAGCAGTTCAGGCCCACGTATTCGCAAACAGCATTTACAACTCTAA